CTGACTTTCCTGGTCTGTCTGACTATTGAGAAACTTCTGACTTTCCTGGTCTGTCTGACTATTGAGAAACTTTAAATCTTCCTGATCTGTCTACCTTTTTGAGCCGACTATTTGTCAGCAATTAAACAACTACGTTACTATAGTTCATTCAGTTGTAACAACTTCAGTTCTATTATGACCTGTCTGTAGAGTATAAACTATTTGATTCCACGTTAGGTGTTTGTCGTGTGGTAGAGAACAGGATCACAACATCAGTGAGATAACAACGGGTACAAAACTATTTAAACTCGTATACAGAGAAGTGTGACTGTCATTGGGCTCTTTGTCCAAGAACACTGATCCCTTAAAATGTAATTTAATTGCAGTTTTATCACGATAGTAACTTGAGGTCAAAATAAATCCTGCCTGTTAGTGATCTCTTTTGTAGAATCAACGGCGAAATTTTGCAAATCAGTCGTCCCAATAAACGTTTTCTAGAATAAAATCTACCTTTTAACCACAGAACAAATTTCATCATTGAAGTATCCATGTTTCTGTTTCTTTAAATAGTAGATTTAGTTTGTACAGACTAGCTAATCAGAACTTGCGAAGAATTTGAAACAGAAAAAAAAGGAAACGATCCTTTTATCATGCTTCGATAACTGTTGTCGTTTGTTTGTTTGTTTTTTAACTCAAAGCCAGATTGGGCTATCTTCTGTGTCCATCACAAGGAATCGAACCTGGATTTTTAGCTTTGTAAGTCCCTAAACTTACCCCTGTCCCCTCGGGGACAACCGGAGTTGTGCCGTTCAAATGAAAATGTTAGATGTTGACGAATCTAATATAATATAATCAGTATAACTTGTGTAAGTGCCATGTTTGATAACCGCTTTTGGTAGAAGGTTCGGTAATTTTAAGCTTGTTCAGAAATATTTCAATCATCAATTTTCCTGTTCACGTGTTGTTCATCAAATTCGATAACGTTCAAGTTAAGCTCTATTTAATTTAATTTTCGTCTTCATTTCTACAAAGAAAAGATTTAATCATAGAAACTGCATCGCAAGTCAAAACTGGAAAGTTAAAATCAGTTGATCCTATTTTAGAATTAGAAATTACACTGCCCCAAAACGTAAATTGTAACATTACAGCTATGTCAATGCAAAATCACTGTTATAAAATAATACTGTCACTCCGCTTAGTTCATTGTTATGAAAATTGGACATCTGGTGATAAGTCATGTGATCCAAAGCACATGTTGCAATAAAAAAAATTCGACTTGAAATTAAAAAAAAAATCGTATATTATAATTTAAATACGTGACAACATTAAGAGCAAAGTTTAAATTTTACATTTTCTTGCCAGATGCTGAAACCTTTAATCGACCTCATCACCCGTGTCATCGGGTATGGCTATGACAATTTCTCTGATAAAAAAGTTTTATTATATCATGATGGACGAAAATCTGTATAGGAAACAAAAAGCGCTCGGAGTACTACCGAACGTTAATGACGAAGACGAGGAAAGTAGGTTTCGATTGTTGAGAGAAAGTATGCTGAAACTTCTTCATATTTCTGAATCGGAAAAAAACGACTCGACGGACGACGACGACAACGACGGCTATGCTATCAACGCCGTGTCCAGTAAAAGCGGAGCTCGAAACAAACGGGCAGGAAAACCAAAGTTAACAGAAAACCGACGATCGAGCTCGGGAGAGAAAGGACCACTAAAACACGGTAAAGAATATTCAGCAAGTACTCGGCGGAAATCCAGCTTCAAGAAGACATGTAAACTTACAGAACCCCTTAAGAGGAGCAGCTCGGCAACGTCATTAGAACATATTAAACGAAAACCTTCAGCCGATAACAGTAAAGGACGTACACACGACAGAAGTTGGAAACTTAGAACTCGCCGAACGAGCAGGTAAGATTAAACTATTTACTTCGTGGCAATAAACAAAAATTGAAATAGTACGATTACAGACATCGTAAACTTCTTTAAACTAAATATTCACGTTAATACACTATGAGCACAATATGCAACTTTTGGTGAAAATTATTTTAAACTTCAAATTTAACTGAGCAGCTTTTTTTTTTACCAAGAATGTCCTCCGGTGGCTCAGCGGTAAGTCTGTGGACTTATAATGCCAAAATCTGGGTTCGATACCCGCGAAAGGCACAAAATAAATTCAAAAAAAAAGAGAGAGAGAGGGGAAACGCCAGAAGGTAAGAATACAAAAAAGGAACGTTTCGTTTTGTAATATACAGGGTGTCCCAGAAGTTTGGACCCATAGGGAAAAATACACAAAGTATTCTTAATGTATTTATTATTCAAATTGCATGCTATTAACCGAATTGCACATCTACATAATTTACAGTGTGTAAATAAAGCAAGAAAAGAGAAAGTCAAGTTTAACCAGTAAAATATACGTGAGGCTCGATGAAAAACAAAACTATCCAAGTAATACTCATTCAGAAAAAATAAAAGAATGAAACGCGAAAGTAAAGTAAACAAAACATTGGTATTCCATCTAAAATTACAAGGAAATTTTAAAGGAAAACAAACAAAAATTCACATACATTTATTCGACAACTTAGTATTTCTCTCAAAAATATTTGCTCCACGCACTTATCGTCCATCGTTGTGCGCATGCTCCTCTGGCTTTCACACCTACCTCATCTTAAACGTTTGGCCATGAGGGCAAACTTAGGAAAGCTGCAACATAAAAATGTCTGCGCAGTCTCTTCCTGAAGAAAAGTCACGAGCTGGTTAATGAGGAAGTAAGCAACCGGAACTGATATAAACCGGATCTGAAATTCACAGGATAACTTCCGTTTGAGAACAGGCAATTGTCAGTTATTAACAAAACCTGTTCTTACTTAGAGCTACCGTAGTCATCAAATTTCACATGCATGTAAGCAAAGTTCATTAAGTGTATTTATCGACTGTCGTTTGTTTGTTTCAGAATTTTATCGCAAAGTTACGCAGAGGGACTTTCCTAATTTTGAACTGATTCAGCCGACTATTCGGTCACTCTTGTCGGATGAAATAATGCGATTTGACGGTCGCTCTTACAGCAATGAGATTGGAACCATGAATTCTAATATATTCACAGTCTGGGTATGCTAACCACTAGGTCACTCCCGGCCCTAAAGTGGAAGTATTGAACTGCAGGGGTACTGTGGGAGTAAAAAATGATTACGAACCAGAATAAAATGTATCTACACTGTCAAAAGCAAATAAGAGGAAGCTGCCAGTTAAGTGTCGAGAGATGTAATTATGATGAAAAAAATAAAGTGATCGTGACACATGGTTAAAAAAAGAAGGATCTTCAACTCGAAGGTGTTAAAGAAAATTACAATAGTTCAATTTAAACTTACAAACATCACAAGAAACGGATCAAAGAAGGATCTTCAACTCGAAGGTGTTAAAGAAAATTACATGAATTCAATGTAAACTTACAAAGATCACAAGAAACTGATCAATATATATAAATACATGACTTATCGAAATATTTAAATACATGTGAAACATAATAACAAAACTGAAGTTGTTATTTCAATATCTTAACAAGATTTAGCGTAGATATCGGGGAGTTTATGGAGTAGATTTGTTTGTAGTTTAAGCACAAAGCTACCTGTAAAAAGTTCACAACTTTTAACCCAACTTATCTCCTGGCAATGTGGTTGCAATATATAGTTATAAAACGGGGGTGAAATTTTTATCTCACGTATTAGGCCTGTGAGAAACAGGAGATGTTCTTGAAATAGCTACCACCTAGCCACAAGGAACACAGACAGAACAGAACGCGTTGCCCATGTCCTAATTAACGTTGCATTCAGATCTGTAGTAGGAGAGGATTGGTTTAGAATTTCCCCGCAAAGCGACACAAGGGCTATCTGCGCACAATTACTCCTAATATTTAGCTGATGGACTAAAGAGAAGGCAGCTTATCAACACTGCCCACCGCTTAAATCTTGGGTTACTGTTGTTTGACCGAATAGTGGAATTTGACCTTTGGGTTACTGTTGTTTGACCGAATAGTGGAATTTGACCTTTGCTCTTGTAAAGCGAAATGTATTTTTGTAGCAACACGGACGCGTGCCATGAAACTTCGGATTCACAGTCCGGACACATTAACTGTAAGTCCACACCCGATCCTCAGCAGCGGAAGAAGACAGAAGTTTTACTTATTAAGTTGATGTATAAGCACATACCTACTTATCAAGTTGATGCATAAGCACATATTTGCTTATTAAGTTGACGTATAAGCACATATTCACTGTTGTGTGATGGTCAGAGCACTCGTTTTGTTTAATT